AACCTGTGAGCTCGGGCAATTCACCCACCTCAGCCTCCCAGGGCTGGGATTATAGGCGTGAGCCACTGGGCCTGGCCCAGCTCTACTGCTTTTTATCAGGACTGTTTACATCCTCTGGCTGGTGACAGTGTGATGACTTGGTTCAAGACAAGACTAAACAGCAGCCTCTCACACCTCCCGTGTGCTCCCACACTCGCCCAGTGAGTGACCGTAATGTTTCACGCACCGACTGGTCTGTCTACAGGTAGCATGCCCAGGTACTGCACGTGGAACTTCTGCACCAGCTCAGTCTTTGGTGTTGGAAAATCTACTGTAGGGAACAAAAGCGTCACATCTTTCTCAGTGGTTCCAACACACACGTAAGAAACAGCCATTCCTGTCACCTGTAATGCTCAGAATGCCATTTGTCCCACAATGTCCTGTTTCTGGATGTAAACGTGACAACTGTCCTCTAAGAACAGCATTTCTTAGTCCAGATACCGGAGCACTGTCAGTCAAAACTCTTTACAAGTTTCCGTTCAAGGTAGGAAGCATCCAAAAGCAGGAAGTGAAATCCACAGGTTAAACCTGCTACTGGCTCTTTGCTATGTGCTAAGTAGCAGCTTTTGATGTCCTGTTAGGGGTGGTTGATGCCCAGAGAAGATTTAATCACAAAGGACACAATCAGAGACTCAGGAAAAATAAAGAGTTTTAAAAAGAAACAAATCAACCCACATATTTTTAAACTAGCTGGTCCTTACCCCGGGATGAACATGAATCATAAAACCACAATGTTCTTTAATCCAATAACAACGAAAGTCATCCTGGCCCTCTGCGCCTAACCCTAGTGACATAAAATCAACTTTGTGTCACTGCAGGGCCCAAAGTGCAGCTCAACACGTATCTGTTGAGTCGAGCACGCCCTTTAGGGGGACTGGCAACCCCGAAGAACCACCTGAGACCCTGTGGTTTCTGGCCAGAACAGAAAAGAGCCGTGAAGAAGAGAGGGTGCCGCCGACCTACCTTGCAAAGGAACGTCCAGGTTCACATTGGTCCTCTCCTGTAAGGAGCTGCAGGCCAGGGCTTTGGCATTCTTCCGCTCGGCCATAATCTAAAGAAGGGAAAACAGCCCTGGTTGGTGTTACAGGCCTCCATGTCTGCAGCGACTCCAGCCCATAAAGTGTCCCAGTTGATTTCACTTACTGCTTCATTTCTGACCCCCAATCTCTGGCTAAATATTGTGAGAATTATGCACATTTTCCCAGGGGATAGTAAGTAAATGACTATTGCCTGGTGGAACAGTCTCCTAATGGCTTAGGGTTTACTTCTTCCATTCACCACTCCATCAAAGACAACCCAAACATCCCCTGGGGTGCCAAGGCCTGGCCCTGCAGCCATTTGGCCAGGGGAGTACAGGTCGACTGCCCCCAGTGACTCTGGATGTTATTAGATATCCTTTTGCAGGGCTCTGGAGACAGAGGACACCTCTGCCTCGTTCTGGCTTTGTCGCCTGACCCGTCTCATTTGCTGATCCCAGGGGGATGGTAACAGCACTTGTGTCAGGGCAGAGTGAGCCTGTTGAGCTCTCGGCGGCCCAGATGGCAGGAGGGCTCAGAAGTGTTTGTCACTGCCTCACTTCTGTTCGGGACACTGACGTCTGCTCTACTTCAGAGTCATCACTCTGCCCTCCTGTTCCCTCACAGCTACGCAGCCGTGCGTTTAGGGACTGGAAGAAACTCACCCTTTACAGACCCCAAAAGGAACTCGTGTTTTTTATTCCCAGTCTATTTCTTTTCCAAATGGAACCTACATATTTCCATCCCAGACCTGGCGTGTGTCTGGCTCAGGCGTGGCACTCAGCTGTGTGCTGCATGAATGAATGAGAAGGAGACGCGGGGGTGGGGGGGTGCTGCCGTGCACCTCCCAGTCTCATCAATGCAAGAACATGGCCAGGGGCCACAGCAGCAGCCTGGTGGGCTCTTTCTCATTCAGGGGCTGGGCCTCACCAGCTCAGGAGGAATTGTGGGAGTGAGGCTGGGTGACCATGTCAGCCTGAGTCAGACAGGTGACGTGCATTAGAAGCAACACCAAAATTCTGCATTGAAATTCAATAAATTAGGCCACGCATGATGGCTCACACCTGTAA